TGTTTAATAGTATATCGAAACCAAATTAATTTTTATGCACCTCCGCTTACGATTGTGGACCCCCATTTTTTATTACGCCCAACGTAGACCCCCGTCGAGTTGTTACGGGTCAAAAGTTCTATCTAGAATAGTTTTAGCCAAAACAGCAAAGTGTGTAAACAATAGTTTTTTATTTTTGTTATTGATTCTACTAAATTTACAACTAATTCTAGCCTAATATATACTATTTTATCCTAAACTAAACTATTCTATCCTAAACTATCCTATCTTAATATATCCTAAACTAAACTATTCTATCTTAGACTATCCTAAACTAAACTATTCTATCTTAATCTATTCTATCACTATATATGTTATTTTATCCTAAACTAAACTATTCTATCTTAGACTATCCTAAACTAAACTATTCTATCTTAATCTATTCTATCACTATTTTACGCTTAACTATTTACACTACTCTACTTCTACCCTATTCTACGCTAACCTAAATTATTCTAAGCTTAACTATGTACACTATTCTATTTCTACTCTATTCTAACTTACCCTAAGCTACTCTAATTACTAATCTACCCTATTATATACCTAATCTATTCAACATTATTCTATTTTAGCTCTATTCTCTTTTTATATATATTGTGTCCTACATTTTCCCTATTTATTAACTCCTACTGGGGATATAATCGATCAATTTACTAAATTCTAAACTTGAATCGTAAGGATCCTAATTTAGTATTTTATTTTACATTAAAACCCATTCTAACCTTTTGTCTTATATTTGTCAGCCTGATTACATCTAGTGAATACTTTAAACTCCAAAGAACTGTATTTTACTACACAAAATAGTACACATAACTCTTTTAAATATCTGATATCTATAAGTACATGTTATTATTTGTTTACATTTATTTTATGACATCCACACATGTCAAATTCTTCTTTTAACAATAACGGCCACACTCTTACCAGACTTTGTCCTGTTAACCTTGACTATTAAAGACCTTTTATTGACTTACATGGATTTTCTACCATCTTGGCAAACTTTCTTGAGTCAGTTTTTCTAAGCTCAGCTTTGTGGTAACATGTGCCATATTATGTTCTACTGTTTGTAGGATCTGAACGTTGAGCTAAAAACGATTAAATTAGTTAGTAAAATATACCAAATAAATCGTTGTGGTTTGAATCACCTTTTTGGTGGATTTAAATATATTTATTGACTGAATTTACAACTAAAAAGGTCGCCCAACAGCTCCAGGTGAGTCCTTAAAATTAAATAAGACAGCTTTCTTGGCTTACCTATAGTTTATAAGGCTATTTATATGTATGGCTTATGCAAATCCCTCTTTCAGACCTCCTTTTAATTATCTGGGAACTTTCCGAGTCACCTTCTACTACTTTACGGCTCTTCCTTCTCCTTCAAGCTATCTTCGCTATCGCTTATAGCTAACCTACCGCACCTCCTGCTTAACTTGCTAGTACCAGTTCGAATTCTACAGGCAAGACAGAAGGATTATATCAAGATTAATTACCCCAGGATCAACCCCCCTTACTAATTGAGGATTATTTGCCGCTTACCCTTGTGAAACCTTGCTTGGGACCAAAAGTATAGCAAGCTACACCAGACGACTGATCGTCGATATCACAAGTAAGACCATTCCTTTACATTAAAGGCCCCCATCTGCCACGAGGTTCCGACATAACCTCAAACCGGCCACATACCGTTTTAGGAACTACCTACAAATATTTTAATATTAATTCCGTATAAAATAGCTAATGAATAGACTTGATATATTTCGGTAGATTTTTATAGATACCAAAACATATTTTGTTATTAGAGTCAGATTAATACTTACGTGGTATAAGTACGGGTTTGTAACGGATAGTACTATTCGGGGACCTCTTTTTTTCATATACTCACTATTATAATATATATAATTACCGATATATCGGCATGATAATTTCATATTTTTTTCCCATATTATTTTTTATTGACATTTTTATTTCATCTAACCTCAAAAATTAAATAGTTGTCAGACGAGAATGCTTTTTATTAAGTTCTGACTAAGGACCCGACCCTACTCTCCGAAAATCAAAAAATTAACGAGCTAGCAGAAATTACGCTTGGCCCCTTTCATAAGTAAGGGCAGAGCGTAACAGAGTCTCCCGTGGACCCCTGGGGTCCACCTGGACTACTTTGGGAAATACTGCTCTAGGTGAAGTGGCCAGGTTCCAATACCTACTGCCTAAACTTCTCATCTTATGCTTCCATAATTAAAATACCTTCTTTCAATGTTGGTATTTTATTAACATTATGTGATACACTTTACACTTATAACTTTTACATGTTACTTAAAAACGATGGATCAAAACTTAGACATTTGCCAACGAAACGAGTAAGACAGTGAACGGCTTTGTTAAAATTTTCGCTATTTATGTTCATAAAAGCATTGTGTCATGGCATTCGTTTTTCATTGAATCTTCGCTTGTATGAATATTATTAGCTATGTGTTTGAACTGTTATACTAGCTGGAAGAGGGCAGCTGATGGTTGACCAAAGTCTAAAGATGGGTCTCAATTTTGAATGTTAAAGGTGGGTGTTTTTTGAATACGGATTATTCAATTTTTTATTATTTTAATCTTTGCGTGACTTTGCGTGAGTGTTTAAATGTATTTCGAAAATGTGGATTAATCAATTTTATATAAATGATGGATGGTAATTTAATTATTATATCTTTCAGTTTGCGTGAGAGTTTGAATGTAATTTGAAAATGTGGATTAATCGATTTTATATAAATAATTGATGGTAATTTAATTATTTGCGTGAGATTGAGTGAGTTTGCGTAAGTGTGCACGTATGTTTATTTAAATATGTTTTTCCTTTCTACTGTAAAATTGTGTGTTAAGAAGATGTAACTGATTCAATTGCAATAGATGACCGAGAAGACGTTAGTGTGCAGATATGAATGATCGTAATTCTACTTACAAGCAGGGAAAATTATTGCGACGCTTTAAAATTTTTAAAGTCGCTATAATTGTATGTTGTGAGTATACTCGGTATATTCATCTGATTTAAAAAGAAAGTGGACCCCGTTTGCATCGTCACGACTCACTGACTCAGTAACATGTTCTGTGGGATCATCTTTGACTCCTTTGGGGATTTATGATGCCATAACACTTGATCACGACGCACGACGACTGCTGGTTATGTCAAAGTTCATCTCGAGAAGGAACCAAAATTGCGGAAACTGTGTCAAACGCCCAGCCATTAGTTACACAACAAAAATTGTTTATTGTTGTGTAAACGGTTCCGTTTTAAAATTAGTTTGAATATTGAGGTAAATACCATGGTAGAAATAAAGAATACCTATTTGATATTTACGTCTCCGTTATTTAATTTGTGATTATAAAATATATTTACGTTTTCTCTAGTCTTTTATAGGTACATTATATAGCTCTGTCTGCTCTTTAGAACAAGGATACACTTTTTGTGGCTAAAATATTTTCTGTGAAATGTAGATGAAATACTTGCGCTTGCACAAACCGCATTTGGTAGGTCACACGACAGGGCATATGGTAGTCCCTACCACCGGGACATAGTACATGTTATTTTGTCCCCCACCCCTTTACTCAACTATAAATAGCAAGCAAAAAACACGACGTGCCGCATTTTGCTGTCTCATATTATCTAAACTATTCAAAAAAATACTAATAAAAAGACTGAAACCCATTATTAAAGAAAGGAAACTAATTCCAAATTATCAGTTCGGCTTTAGAGAAAATCATTCAACTATAGATTAGGTTAATAGAATCTCAAATGCGATTGAAAAAGCATTAGTACAACAAAGAAGTACGTTCAGCCGTCTTTCTCGATGTTGCGCAAGCTTTTGATAACATGTTGGATTAAAACATAAACAGAATGTAATACTTCCACAGCCATACTGAGAGTTACTGGATTCGTACATTTCAGATAGATTTGGTAGAGTAAAACAAGATGAAGCTTACTCTAAATTGAAAGAAATTAAAGCAGGAGTACCACAGGAAAGCGTCCTAGGACCTACTTTGTATCTGTTATACATTTCTGACAAACGCCAATTAGAACAAGATAAAATAGCTACATTTGCAGATTATACTGCCATCTTAGCGATAGACAAAGATCATTAAGAGACTGCAAATAAATTACAAACATCAGTTAATCAAATAAATAACTGGACCAAAATATGGCTTAAACTGAACGAAACCAAATCTGTTAATATTAATTTTACTAACTAAAATGGTTAACGAATGCCACTTAACATAAATAATGCCCAGATCCCTCATGCAAAATATCTAGGTATTACATTAGATGCAATACTTAGCTGAAAGGTCTATGTTAAAAAGAAAAGACAGGAGTTAAATATAAAATTCAAAAAAAATGTATTGGTTACTTGGTAGGCATTCCAGCCTATCTACATATAACAAAACTCTTTTATATTAACAAGTCCTTAAACCAATTTGGATCTATGACATTCAGCTCTGGGGTTGTGCTAGCAACAGTAATATTCTAACAATCCAGAGATTCCATAACAAAGTGCTGATGAACATTATCGATGGACACTGTAGCAAATATTTTTAGTTATTTTAATAAATTAAATATTAATTCTAATGCATAGGTAGGAAATCCCATTTGTTGGGTTCTAATTAACGGTGCTGTTCCTAAAGTGGCACTGGGAAACCGTTACAAAGCCTAAACAGAACAAGAGGCTAATGACTTAAGTAGTTGATGCTGATGATACCAAATTAAAAAAAAAAATCAATCATAAGAAAATAAGTCAAAAATCTGCACGTTGGCTTTAGGACTAAATATTTTAGATTATAAATCTTAAGTAAATGCTCTCTGGTGTTATTAGTTGTTCTATTTTGCATATTACTATTTTATTAAAAATCTTAAAATAAATTACATAGTCTTGGTCATTAAAAGATTACTTTAACACCCATCAGTACGCCGATATCAAATTACTCAATATCTCAATTCATCTAACTAATATAACGTTACTGTTTTCGTATCAAATGTCAGCATCCACGATTAACAAACATTGTAGTCCATAGTGGTTTAGTTGTGAAACAAACAATTTAGGTTGTTGAAATATGTGGGTAAAATTTGTTTTAATAGGATTTTGCTTTTTAAATTTAGGTGAGTTGCTTTTTTATAGAATGTAATTAATTATAATAATGACCTGTTTCAAATTTATTCAATATTATAAATTTTAAGTTAGTGTTATGCTGTTTAAATAATATATCCAGTTACAAGAGGAGGGATAGTTCGGTTAGACTATTTTTTTATTTCCCGTTTATTGGCAATGGACGTTAGTCCTTCAGCCACACACAAATTGAAAGATATGAAGTTTAACTATTAAATATTTATATTATTGTCACTTATATAATCGTATATACACTGATCGATCTCCAGTCGCAAGCAACCCCTTAACAATGTTGGAAACTGAACGCCTGCTTTTATAAGGCCATCAAACACGTCATTATTACAAAAACTCTTACAGCCGAAAAATATATGATTGAGATCTGCAACCTCGTTATCAAATAAACACAGTGTCAGTCCTATTTTATATAAGTGAGATGGAAAACACCCATAGTTCATTTTCAATCGAGTAATACTTTTTATAAACTTTGTCATTGAATATATTGTGAGATTTTATTTTTCAAGTCCTTGCAGATATGAATTATTTGAGTTAGACTAGTTTAGAGGATTATTTATTGCGATGCTACGTGTAGTAGACAAATGATTTGCTTAGAACTATCAGCATATACAGAGTGGCCCAAAAGTCTGAAAACGGCCAATTATCTCGTAAATTGCTAGTCCTAATTGTACACCTATTTTGGGATACGGAGACACCAAATTTGATATTTGAAATGTTGCCAGATTTGCCGTTTCTCTTATATTATTAGTCACTTTGGTTTTTCAAATTCATCGCCCTGTATAAATTAAACAAACGTTACAGTACCTATATTCTTAATCTAATAATATAATATGGAAATACCCAATTCAATAATTTTCAAATGGTTCTTCAAAACTCTCAGAAGGGGTGGTTCATTTTCAGTTATCTCTCTGGTCACGTCGTGGATGAGTAACCACTGGGCGTTTTCTCCATGGGCCGTGTCAGCATGGGACTATTGTTTAACCATCAACGAAGTGGAATGCATGACGATGAATGAAGGAGTGAATTGGTGAATGGGAAAGTAGTAAGACCTCGTCAAATGGTGGTAGACTAAGCGCAGGCTGTAGTGCCTCGAGATTACAGACAGATTAGGATGATAGCACAGGGGGAAGGGTGTTAAACTAAAAAAAAAAACCAAATTAGCTCGAAATGCCAAAAATCAGAATAGCAAAGTGCGGGTATTGATATCAAAGTAGAGTATACATAAACTTTTTTAGACCCTACGCTGAACATTTAAGTTTTTCGTTCAAAAAGATATTTTTTTGTAGAAAATGTATGTTGTATCCTTGTAATATTAATAATTCTTAGGGTTTATCCACAAAAATTAAATATGATCTAACGTCTAATGCATTTTTAAAAGATTAATCTAATTTTTCCTCCAAGAGGATTTGGTGTGTACACTGTACACACTGGATAATAGGAGAAAATAAAAGATTTTTTTATTTCAAATATGTAGATACGTATCAAGCTAGCAGAGCACCTTTGGATTTTTCACATTCTGAGTTTGCGATAATTTTAGGCTCATTTTAGGCTAATTTTATACCAACATAAAAAAATGTCTGCTCCTTTCTTTAACAGAAAAATTAAGTGCTCTGCTAGGCTTAATATCAACCTAGCAGAGCACCTTTGGATTTTAAAAATTTTGATTACGTATTAATTTTAGGCTAATTTTAGGCTAATTCTATACCCACTTAAACATTTTCCACGCTGGCCTTTATTGTAAAAATTGGGTGCTATGCTAGCTTGAAAATACGACGTAGGTTAATTCGTAAAAAAGGGACAATTTTTGTGAATTTTTTTTGACAGCACAGGTAAAATCTGTTTATTTAAACTAATGGCACATTAAAGTATAAAATATTGTGTCAAATTCTCATGTAGAAATATTTAAAAATACGGAAATGGTAACAATTATTCGGAAGTGTCTCGAAAAAAAGTAGAATTGCGATGTCCCTTCTAACTCGGTGCTGGATCATCAGAAATAAAAAAATCAAAGTTTTCTCGTTAGATAATCGTTCTTCCCAGGTAGCGCTGGGTTTTTCGGAATTTCAATTGTTCACTTTTTGGGAACACTTTGAAGTAAAAAACGCGATTCTTGCGAAAAAATAGGCTAATTTGTTATTATAAAATAAAAAAATATTAACAAATTTGAAAAAAACTCTCCAGCTTTACCTCGTAAATTATGTACAGAAATAGTAGTTCAAAATTTCAAAAGGATAGGTGCAGTAGTTTTAAAGTTATGAGGGGCACCGACTTTGGAAACATGAGTTGTGGGGAAAACGCTTTAAAGTTTTGAACACTAAAAAATTTGGAATAAAACGTTCATAAGCGAGTTTTATCGGCTTATCTCACACTAAATCATCGATGCAAGGTCCATAAAGGATGCCACTATCATTCATGATGTCTAAAGCATCTGTTTGTTCCTGTCTACGACGAATCCTCATTCAAGAGCGCTTGATCCACTACTGATTCATATGTCTTGCATGTAGGTTAGTGAAGCAAAAGATCATGCTACACTAAATTATATACAGTACAGATATAAACACATCTGTACTTGTGTTAAAATTTATATAAAGAAAGGTAGGAGGTAAGGTTAGGGATCATATAGTGAGCGAAACAGCTGCCAGGCAAGGGCGGCTTCGAGACGAATTGTCGATGGGAGATATTGTCATTCTTTAGGCTATGATATTGTCTTTAGCCATTCTTTTTGTAGCATATTTTTTGAATAAAAGGCTCATAAATCGTAAGAATTTTCATCTTGGTGGGGGTCATGGTCCCATAGCCCCTCCCCTGGAGCCGCCCTTGCTGCCAGGTAACAATAGCGCGCCCGGGCCGGGCATGTATGAGTCGCGGTTACTCAAACCGCTGTATCTTCGTTAGTTTTGCTTCGATTCATCTCAAATTTTTACACAATAATCTTAAAAAGTTTTCCATTCACAAAATCAAATACATAAAAAAATGCAAAAAAAGTTTAAAAACTTTACTCCCTGCTTAATAAAATTGAGGAAAATAAAAAATAGACCATACCCTTTCTATAAACATGTAAGCGGAAACTTTTTAAGGTTGGTATAAAATTAGCCTAAAATTATGAAGTAATCAAAATTTAAAAAATTCAGAGGAGCTCTGCTAGCTTGATATCAAGATTTTATGTTGGTACAAAATTAGCCTAAAATGAGCCTAAAATTATGACATAACCATTTTTGAGTTATTTCAATTTTTTAACGAAAAATTCGTATTGTCAAGCTAGAGTGGTGAGCATCTAATTTTTCGGATAAAGGCCAGAGTGAAATGTTTTTATGTTGGTATAGAAGTAGCCTAAAATTATTACGTAATTAAAATTGAAAAAATCCAAAGGTGCTCGGCTAGCTTGATATCAAGCTAGACGAGCACTTAATATGTCCTATAAAGAAAGAAGCGGAAAATGTTTTATATTAGTACAAACTTAGCCTAAAATGAGCCTAGAATTATGACGTATCCATTTATGAGTTATTTCAATTTTTTAACGAAAAACTATAAAGTATTGTCAAACTAGCAGAGCACCTAATTTTTCCAAAGGGCAAGAGCGAAATTTTTTTATGTTGGTTTAAAATTAAGCCTAAAATTATGGGATACTCAGAATGTGAAAAATCCAAAGTTGCTTTGCTGGCTTGATGCGTATGAAACATACAGGAGAAATTGTAGTAATACAATTATTTAATTCAACTGTATTTGAGCACCGGTTAACACGTGTTTTCTCCTGAGACCACCCTTCGGCATACGCGGCGCTTTTTTTTAATTTTACCTCTCTCTTAATTTGGCCTCTCTCTAATATCATTCTAATCCGTCTGTAACTTGACGGTACTGAAGCCTGCGGCTTATTGTATCACTATTTGGATGTCCTACTACTTTCCCATTCGTTCCATGTCGTCGATGGTGTCCTATGGTGACACGGCTATGTTTGATCAATTTGTGCATTTAAGAAAATGGGGACCACAATGAACAATTTTATTGCCTGTTCAGGAAGCGATGGATGGTAATTAAAGGTTCAACTAACTATCTGTCTCTTTAATTTTTAAATTTCTTTTAATTTGTAAGTTTTTTCCGTACTTATCTTATATGTCACAATAAGTAGTTTAATTTTTAAGTCTGATGATGACATAAGAAGGTCGAAACTGGTTGCACACGAATTATTTCATTTGATTAAATCATTTTTATGATAACTATTACCGATTTTTCTGTTTCTAATTTTCCTGTTGAATAATTTTGAACACTTTGACATGACGGATGTCTTACATAGGTTATATTCTAATAATATTATGTTATGTTTATTTCATTTTTCAGTAAACATATCAGAAGGGGCTATATATATTTTTAAGAAAAGTTTTAGAATTTATGATCATCAAAATTGGGAAAACCAGTATCCGCAAGAACATTGTGATGGACTTGTATTGCCAATAATGCCCATGGGTGTTATTACCGCCAAACAATTAGAAATAAAACAATTAACATTTGGACTCCATATGAGTTTCATTTTTAACGACGATACTGATATTAAATTCAACGAAAACTCAAAATCTATTATGAACTGTAAGTTACTGAAACTCAATAATTGCATGCATCGAGTAGAATGAAGTAGAGACGACGTAAACACCATTTTGCGATATGACTCACAATATATCCCCTATAGTAATGTAACTGGGAATCAAGAAATGGCTTTGAGTTACGCTGCGGCCAGACACAGGTCTCATGGCGCTAGTATCGTTATTGATTTTTGACTTCGGCACGTTCATTGGTTGACGACGAATTCAAAACAATCTGATCGGAGCGTTACTCACTCCCACTCCTTCTCTTTGTTTAGATACTTATAAAAGAAAGAGATACCAGTTAATAATTTCTATTTCGAATCATCTTTCATTCTTTAGCGTTGAGTTTTTATAAGTGAAGCGTGAAGTGTCAGTGTTGACAAGTGATAATTTTTTGATTTTTTCTTCGACGAAATTTAATATTAATTTTGTTTCAGCGATATTTATTGTGATTTGTGTTGTTGTATTAAGTGCTTTCTTATTTAATATGGGAAACAAAACGTACAACAAACTCAGAAAAAGAGGAATCGAGGAGGGATTGCTATCTATGGCTGTCATCCAAGGGTCTGCGCCCTAGATAATACTTTTCCAGTGGGAAAAGCCTTTAAAATTCAAGTATAACAATTTTATGTTTCCGTTTTCCCTTCTTCTAATGTAGGTGCCAATTTTGAGGTAAGTTTGTAATAATTTTTCAGTTATTACCTACCCTCTTAATATTATAATTTAACTATGATCTTATGCTTTCCTATGGACACGATTCAAGGAGGGAGTCCTATGGCTGTCATCCAAGCCCTAGATAATAGTTTTCCAGTGGCAACAGCCTTTAAAATTCAAGTATAATAATTTACTTTTTTCGAAGTAGATGTCCATTTAAACTAAATTTTTTTATTTAACTTATTGATTTTAGCATTTATATACAGTATCGGCTAATGAACACTTTCCAATACGCTTGGCTAGAATCGAAAATAAAACTAAAGAGTTAGCGCATTAGTTCGATCAGGAAACGAATAATATGAATGTTGCCTTGTGTGCTGTGTAATATGAACAGGCACACGGTGTGATGCATCCCCACGTAGCCGGCTGGCTACGTTCATAGTATTCTATTCCTTCTCCCACTAATGCTAACTCTTTGTAGTTTTTACTTGGACATTAGCAAAACGTATTGTACAACATTCGATAGCTGCCACTGTATTATCACAAACATCTCTTAATAACTAAATGATTTCATTTAATAGTTTCTTTTTTTTTTTTTCAGTAAAATGGATATGGCTAGAGTTATCTTCGTCTTTAAAATATATTAAATAAGTTTTATAATTTTTCAAATAAAATACTTTATACAATTTTTTGTTTTTTTACCAGAGCCAATTTTTTTTCAGATCTAACCTCTATAGGTAAAAAATAAGTGATTTAGGTAAAATTGAAAAGTATATTACATATTCTTTTAAATGTGTTGTTAATCCAAATGCTGCTCTTATTGTAATAGCTAATAATAAAAGAATTAGAATTATTTTTAGCTATCAAAATAAAAATAGCGCCTGGATTTACAGCTCGTTTAATCGAACATGCAATATACTTCTCAATAATTATTGCCGAATAAATATATTTAAAAATACCCGCCATTCCGCGGCTGAAAATTTACAATTTTGGCGGGAAATTTAAATTTCGCCTTTAAATTATATTTGAATTTACCGCCATATCGAGTTAGTTGAGCGGCCAGACACAGACGCATTCTTGCGCTGCAAACTTAGTGCCAACTCTTTAACAAGTGAGATGCACTACTATAGGGGATATATTGTGATATGACTGACAGAAAGTGTAATCAAAATGGCAACACCCGTATGCATAAGGCGAGTTCGGGCTACGCACTCTTTTCACTATATTCACTCCTAAAATACCTAAGGCGTTCGGGAACGGAAGGAGTTATAATAAAAGTTTCTTTTTGACCGTTTGGAGATCGTGGAGTGGAGAGTGGATCGGGAATGCGCATATGGTAATTTAAATCGATAATAAGATAATTGCGACTAATTCTTAAGTGAAAATGATTTGTATGTGGTTCCCTTGCATACCATTTATATGGAAGAAACTTATATGGTTGTTACTAATAAGTACGATTAAGTTTTAAGTATTAGTATGTCACATTGACAAATGACATTGAACTCTCAAAGTTAAAGGAGTAAAACCATATGCGCACTCCGTTTACGTCTACTTACTCCACTCCACTCTGGAGTGCGCAGCCCGAACTCATCTATAGTCGATCGCCAGATATTCATCTCGGCTTATCACCAGCGATCCGCTGGCGAAAGCCCGAGAAAGTGGCGACTTGCTGGAGATTGTCACCGGCATTTCTCGCATGTTATTTATGATTCATTTCTTAAAACTCAAAAAAACAATAAACGAATATCAAATATAATATATATATATATATATATATATATATATATATATATATATATATAGATTCGTCCTGCCGACTTTGTGACATCATGTCGCAAAAATGTTGCTATCTTTCTAACATCCGTCTGCGATGTGACATCCAAATTCGGATGTCACAACGTTTTTGGGGTTCAAACATCATAAAGGAGGTTTAAAAGGGAGCCAAAAAAATTTCAGCTGGATGTCATAATGCTTAATTTTCAATTTTATGTATATATTTAGTTCCAGTGTATAGATGCGAAGGTGGCGCTCGCGTCAGTTGGTTTTGTATATTTTGTATATTAAATATTTCAGTCCCTCGACTGTCTGGCATCCACCATTAAGTATATTAGAATTTACTCACTCGACTCTCTGACATCCAACATTCAGTATATTAAAACTTACTCACCCGACTATATGACATCCACCATAGAGTATATTAGAACTTTACACACTAGGTTATGTGACATCCAAAAAATTTATTTTAGATATATTTGGATTCTCATTTTAAGATCTATTTTATGTTAACACATTAACTGCCAAAAATTTTTGTTGGGTTTCGCATAGAGCCAATAAGTTTTTTAAATGCATTTACTCTCTGTGACTAATAAATATATATGCAGCTATATTATTACAAGGTGTATCAACAATGGGTGAGTGGACGATGACTGTAATTTATATTAAAATAAATTAAATTAAAATAAAATAATTAAAAAAAATAAAATAAATTAATTAAAAAAATTTAAATAAACTGAAATAAATTATAATAAATTAAAATAAATTATAATAAATTATAATAGATTAAAATAATTTAAAATTAAAGTAAATTAAAATGAAATAAACTAAAATAAATTAAAATAAATTAAATTAAAATAAATTAAAATAAATTAAAATAAATTAAAATAAATTAAAATAAATTAAAATAAATTAAAATAAATTAAAATAAATTAAAATAAATTAAAATAAATTAAAATAAATTAAAATAAATTAAAATAAATTAAAATAAATTAAAATAAATTAAAATAAATTAAAATAAATTAAAATAAATTAAAATAAATTAAAATAAATTAAAATAAATTAAAGTAAATTAAATTAAATTAAAATAAATTAAAATAAATTAAATTAAAATAAATTAAAATAAATTAAAATAAATTAAAATAAATTAAAATAAATTAAAATAAATTAAAATAAATTAAAATAAATTAAAATAAATTAAAATAAATTAAAATAAATTAAAATAAATTAAAATAAATTAAAATAAATTAAAATAAATTAAAATAAATTAAAATAAATTAAAATAAATTAAAATAAATTAAAATAAATTAAAATAAATTAAAATAAATTAAAATAAATTAAAATAAATTAAAATAAATTAAAATAAATTAAAATAAATTAAAATAAATTAAAATAAATTAAAATAAATTAAAATAAATTAAAATAAATTAAAATAAATTAAAATAAATTAAAATAAATTAAAATAAATTAAAATAAATTAAAATAAATTAAAATAAATTAAAATAAATTAAAATAAATTAAAATAAATTAAAATAAATTAAAATAAATTAAAATAAATTAAAATAAATTTAAATAAATTTAAATAAATTTAAATAAATTTAAATAAATTTAAATAAATTTAAATAAATTTAAATAAATTTAAATAAATTTAAATAAATTTAAATAAATTTAAATAAATTTAAATAAATTTAAATAAATTTAAATAAATTTAAATAAATTTAAATAAATTTAAATAAATTTAAATAAATTTAAATAAATTTAAATAAATTTAAATAAATTTAAATAAATTTAAATAAATTTAAATAAATTTAAATAAATTTAAATAAATTTAAATAAATTTAAATAAATTTAAATAAATTTAAATAAATTTAAATAAATTTAAATAAATTTAAATAAATTTAAATAAATTTAAATAAATTTAAATAAATTTAAATAAATTTAAATAAATTTAAATAAATTTAAATAAATTTAAATAAATTTAAATAAATTTAAATACATTTAAATAAATTTAAATAAATTTAAATAAATTTAAATAAATTTAAATAAATTTAAATAAATTTAAATAAATTTAAATAAATTTAAATAAATTTAAATAAATTTAAATAAATTTAAATAAATTTAAATAAATTTAAATAAATTTAAATAAATTTAAATAAATTTAAATAAATTTAAATAAATTTAAATAAATTTAAATAAATTTAAATAAATTTAAATAAATTTAAATAAATTTAAATAAATTTAAATAAATTTAAATAAATTTAAATAAATCAAAGTTAATACATAAAAAATATGATGAGCTAATTCATAAAAACGACTTCAAACGATCGTCGTTCGTGCATCGTCGGTGCCTTGCCGTATAGAGTTAATAGTATATTTAAGTAGCTGTGCGATAAATATTGATGTACGCGGATTTTATTTCTTTTTTATTTTAGAGTGAATTAATCTAAGAAGTTTCACTCTTTTTTTAATACTTAGTTTTTTTATGCTTCTGATATGATTCCAAATAATCTTACTTAATGGTTCTTTCGCCATTTATAACCGAGATACAGGTAGTTTTATTACCTTTGCCAATTTCTT